TATATATATATGTATATATATATGATGTGTGATAATATATATATATATATGATGTGCGATAACTCACGTACCATATCACTTACCCTTTTAAGGTGTACAATTCACTGGTTTTTAGTCTATTCATAAGGTTGTCCGACCCTTTCCATTAGCTAATTTTAGAACATTTTCATCACCCCAAATAGGTCCTTTCATCACCCATTAGCGGTCCCTTCCTTCCCTCCTCCTCCCCCAGCCCCTGGCACCTGCTAATTTACTTTCTGTCTCTGGATTTGACTATTCTGGGCATTTCATACAACTGGAACCATACACCACGTGACCTGTGGAGCCTGCTTCCTTTTCATTGAGCAGAACGTCTTCCAGGTTCATCCACGACGTAGCAGGTGTCAATGTGGGTTCCTTTTTATGGGGCAGAAGTCTTCCATGTATGGATGGACCACATTTGTTCACCAGTCATCAGCTGATGGACATTCCAGTTGTTTCCACCTTTTGGCTATTATGAATAATGCTGCTATGAACTGAGAAATATATTTAAAAACTTTTTAATTTATTGATTTTAGAGAGGGAGAAAGAGGGAGAGAGATGTTGATTTGCTGTTTTACTCATTTATGTATTTATTGGTTGACTCCTGTATGTGCCCTGACCGGGGATCGGACTCACTACCTTGGCATAGAGGGATAATTCTTTAACCCACCGAGCCACACCAGCCGGGTGCTGCGTAATATTTTTAAGGAATTGTTCTGAGTAGAAGCCATGGGACTCTGCACTAATCCCGATGAGGGAGGAGAGTCCCTGGACCGAGTGCAGTGCAGGGGGTGAGAGAGGTGAGGCCCTCTTCAGATTTTGGGGGGGAGGTAAACAAGAGGAACTGAGGGTGCTTGTGCACTGACTGACCTGGGGAAGGTGGGGGTGTTGGGGAGGACCTATTAGACATGTTGACTGGACAGTGGGATGTACAGGAAGAGGGTTTGGGACAGAGATCTGGGCAGTGATGTGACTTTGGGTGCATTCCGCAGATAGATGGTGCTTGTGATGGTTAATTTTAAAAAAATGCATTTTTTATTGATTTCAGAGAGAAAGCGAGAGGGAGAGAGAGATAGAAACATCAATGAAGAGAGAGAATCCTATGTTCCAGATACGAGTGCCACATCAGATATATGATGTGCAAACATTGCCTCCAATTTGGTGAATTGCCATTTAACTCTGTCGATTGTATCCTTTGATGCAATCTAACTAGAGAGATGGCGGTGTGAGAAGGACCCCCGCCAACACTGGCTTGAAGATTGTGGGGTGGGTCTGGCCCTGCCGACACCTTGGTTTTAGCCCAGTGAGACTTGTGTCAGACGTCTCACCTACGGAACTAGAAGTTAATAAAAGTGTGTTGTTTGAAGCCACTGAATTTGTGGTAATTTGCCCCAACAGCAGACAGAAAACCAGCCCTGGCCCGCCTGCAGGCCCTTTTCCTCCCAAAGTGCAGCTCCCACAGGCAGCCAGCAGAGGGCAGCAGCCACCTATAAACAAACCCAGGGACCAGCGTTAACGCAGCTGGAAGTCAGCACAGGGGTTCAGGACCCTGGTTACAGGTGGGTGAGGAGGGGTGACCAGAAGGGAGCACCAAGGGAGGCTTCTGAGTCCTGGCTACAG